TCATGGAAACTCAGTGCAATGCAATGCATACTGTGCAATTGTTTTACTAAAGTTCAACAAGAAAAAATGTCTACTCTATCGAGAGGAGGGATTTAACTAACTTTTGTCTGAGTTTCCGATCAAGTTCAAGGCGTTAAATCACCCCCAAAGACCTTTTTAAAAACGTGTTTATTATCTGTTTGATCAGGGACACTGCGAAATCCGCTACTGTAGTTCTGAAGCGCCTTTGGATGACTGCGCAACATTTTATCGCCAGAATATCGATAAAGGCTTTTTTAGTTGTTGAGCTAGATGAACCCAACCAAGTAGAACAAAAAACTTACCTCCTGATTGATTGAGGTTCTGTCTTGGTAAGACGCCACCGTTTGATGACGTTCAATAAGGATGAGTTTTGTGTGTGTGTGTGTTTTTTTTTTCACTTTTGGCAGTGCTTCTTTGGTGGATCAATCCTGTCCTCCGAGGTTTGGAGCAATTGGTGAGAAAAGAGCCAAAGAGTAAAGGAACTTGTCTATCACTGGCGGATGTGTTTCACTGCTTTGTCAAATATGAAGGCAACTTTACTGGGTAAAACAAGTTAAAAGAATTCGATTTCCTTTCGCCTCAAACATCAGCAACTGCGTAAAGATATGCCAAAAACTTTAGGGAATATTTGTTGTTTCCAATCTTGTCAAACGTGTTCATTTCCTGGGGTCATTTTCTTACTGCGACAAAGTATTGGTACAATTCGATTTATAGCGCAACCTTGACTTGATGTAAAATGTTGAGCGGTGAATTCGGATCAGTGAAAAAGAGACAAAATAACATAACATCTTCGTCCTTAAAGCCATCATGCTGATAATGAGGTGACAGTGGCGAGAATAATGATGTGCGATAAGAAAAATGTGATCAGTCATCATCTGCTGACACATTTGGCTATGTTATTTATTTCGGTCATTGAGTTCGACGTCAGGGTACTAGATTTGGTATACCATTAAAGTTCGGAAAAGGATCTGCAGTTTTAATGGCGGTTTAAGATTGAACACAAGTTAACATTGCTGAGTGACAAGAAACAAAGTGAACATATTTCGCGCCAAAGGAAAGGGAAAGACCTTGGCTTATCGGTATATTTAAAGGAAGGCCTTAGAATCAAGCGGGTCCAGGTGGTTGTCTTTAGGCACAAATAGCCGAGATTCTCTTGGGCGACTGGCCTGGTCAACTCGCTACTGGCCGGTGCGGTCAGTCGCCTGATTCAAGCCATCCACTCATCAGATGAGTTCCGGGGAATGCTGGGAGGAATAAAGCTCTCTATCATGTAGGACTACTATCATGAAATACATTTTGGGTGCCAGAATAGAAGGCAGCGTCGAGAGAAAGTGGAGAGAAATTAGACACGACTCTATAGGAAATGGCTACAGCCTATACTGCAGACTTGTGCGTAATAAGTCATTTGCGAGTTAAATTTCAAGAAAGTATGGTATACTCAGTTATCTGATTGAACATAAACGTAAGAATTTGAATTCCCCAGACAAAAAACACTGTTGCTATACCTCGTGATTCGGGGCAAGCTTTTGCATAGCGACCACCATCTCTGGAATGGACTGGTTCCTTTGTGCCCTTCTTATCCATCAAGAGCGGTGTGTTGTTGCAAGGCGTGTCTTATGTAACTAAGCAAAAGTTTGCCCCGAATCAAGAGGTATAGCAACAGTGTTATTAGGATGGAGAATCAAAAGTGCTATTTTCACGTGAATTTAAGAACTCAGTGTACCAGATTTTATTCAAATTTTACTCGCAAAAGACTTATTCCAAACCGCAGTCAAATAAATTTGACACAAGATGTATTTTTGCGTTGGGGAGATGTTAATTATATATAACGGGTTTGCCCTTACCCAACGTATATTAACAAGCACTGTATGCTCAGTGCTTGTCCGAGAGCTTGCGAAAAAACCTCACAAACCCGTTATATGTAATAAATTTGACACAGCATTATTAGCACTTGGCGTGTTCAGAGACATAGTGCTGGGGAACCATGGGTGCATAAACTGCGTGGCTCACGTACATTTTTATACATGTACATATACGAGTATTGCGTAAGGCGCACGTATACGACCAGCTTTCATTCCTGAACCCTAATGATGTGTTCACAACCGCGGTGCTCTTGCAGGGTCGCAGCGTACACAGTAGTGGCAATAACGTTTGATTGCCTGCCACACCTTTCTCTGCTGCAATAGGGAATAACTTGCGTAGAGAGTCCGCACGACAACCAATGGTGCACTACCAAGCTTCAGTGACGTCCCTCAGTCTACAGTTGGACAAAAAATAAGCGTGGTGTACTACACCCTTCCATTGGGCGACATTTTCGTTTGACTCAAATGTAATGGTACAGTTATCTTGCTTTGCGGCAAACCCTAACAGTGTATAAATGCTCAATCAGCCAATCAAGATTCAAAAATTCACAATTGTAATAGGGAAGGCACCTATAGGCTACCCCCAAGTAGATTACATTGAAAAAAACTCCTCCCCCGTAAGATTTCGTCCCCTAATCCCTGGAAAACGAAGATATGTCGTTAATCTGGAATCGACTCTGACAAGAGTCGGCTGAGGTCGAATACAAAACTACTCGATACTGGTTTCTTATTAAACAGTGCATTGACTGCCGATTTTATGACAGAACGGGTACGTTGTAAATCACATGCAGGCAGAAACGTTTATCAGAAATTTCCTGTCATTCTTCGAGGTTTTATGGTCACGGTATTTGTAGAAGAACGCTGCAGTCATAAAAGACGTCTCACCGTCCTGTCGCTCTAGCTTGCGAGGGGACACGATTCTTAACTGGTTTCCTAGTAACAAGTGCGAGGAAATGATGCTTCCCGAGGCCGTCTTGCCTCCCCCGAGGCTGCTCATAATTTACGACAGGACGTTTTCCCTTTATTTCTATTTTGCGATTGCCAGCCTTAACGACTGCCATCTACAAGAAGGGGCTCTGTAGTAGAGATCAAACAGTTGTCGTGTCGTCGAGCGATTCAGCGTCCAATGTAAATTGCTCGAACGTTTGGAGTTGAGTGTTTGTGTTGTCGTCAGCTGAGGACCTGACGATTGTTAATCGAGCAGCTTCGCATGGGACACCGTTTTCCAAATCGCAGCCCATGCAAAGTCTTACACTGTTACACTTAGTTTGGGAATACAACTAACTAACAACACAAGAGATGCAGCGGTATTTTGCCTAGCGAACGCCTACATAATACTCATCCTCGCTATCATGCACCTGTTGTAATGGAGAGAACCAGGTTTATAGTCGTCGTCCGCCAATTTGCCTGATGTTCAGAAAGATTCTGTCATGTATATGTATATCCAAACAGAAAACAAGAATTACAGTTAAGACATCTCACTTCTCACAACGCTTATGTTATGTAGTTAATCTGAACATAAAACAGTAAATCTTAAATATCAAAGGTGACGTTAACTGGAGTGCCAGAATGTTTTCTTTCTTTTTTTATTGTTTTTTTTTTATTTTGATGCCTAATCGTTGGCATCGCACAGTCGTAGGTCTTCGCTTGCCGACACTATGAGTTGTGTCTTTTCTGCCAGTGAGCTGTTGGTCACCGAAAGTCAACTGTTTGTTGAAGCAAGTTGCTCTCAGAAAAATGTTAGGCACTTCTTTTGGCAAGTCGCTCACTTTAATAGTCTTCCATAACGGAGTAATTGAATGAGTGATTTATGCGTTACCATGTCCGCTTTATGGCGGAGCTGACATCGCTTACTAGCCGGTCAGCTCTGCTAGAGCTTTCGAGCAATCTCTTTCAAGCCGATATCTGATTTTGCGCATTTGTAACATCGCTGTACTTATCGATGTACTATGGAAGTCGTGGTCGTTTATGATAAAAATGATAAAACTATCACAGTATGCACTTTACCCACGGGATATAGACGATAATGCATTACCTCTTTCCCCCAGTTTTCTACGTCAGTAGAGCTGGGTGTGTTTATAATGTGATTTCAGAAGTACCATTAGTACCTGTGTCTCCCCATTGCTGTTGATTTATGGTTGTGTATATCTTTTGTTCTTTTATTTTGTCGCATCGAAAAGTCACAGAGGTCTGTATTTTCACTCATCAGAAGTCTGTATTTCCACTCATTCGCATTTACCCGGCTTGCCCTAAAAATCAATACACGGGTTAAGCAGTTTCACGTTTAAGCACTAGATTATTGGAACATATCATAAGTTTCATGAATTGCATAAGTACATCGTTACTCTTCTATCAATCTCGATTGATTCACACAAGGAAGAGGTACGCTTCATGTCCATACGGCGCCAGCGGCAACCTTTGCGAAGACGCTGTATGCTGTCTTGAGCACACAGCTCGACGAAACACAAAGTCCTCTGCGCCTACTTGCAAAATTTACACTGGATCTTTCGTGAGGGGTCCCCTGCAGCGCGCCCTCCTCCGTCTCCGCACGAAGTCACCGCTCGACACAAGTCAGCTCCTGAACGCCACATCTGCAAATCAATGACAGTTAGCCCTGGGGGTTTCCGTAAAGTGATCAGGCAAGGGTTGATGCCCAATCGATGTGTGATGACAGTCGTCTGACGCTTGCTGCGGGCATTTTGTGTTCCTATCGCATGATAATCTACTTGAGAAACTTCTTTCAATCAGTGTGCTGAGAGTTATTCGTCGAATATAATGCTTCTCTCGCTGCCTAATTCGCAGAATACACAGATTCTGAACTTACATCTCTTCTCCCAATTGTCAGGAATGTAAAAACCATATGTGAACTATAGCCTATTCGTTCTGCATTGTTACGCTGTACCTGTCTTTGAGTAGAACTTCGGGTAAATCAGAAATTATTCAGGGAAAGTGCACTTTTTTCTTTACACATTGAGTTTTTTCATCAACGATAATGGATCCGTGATGTCAAAAGAATATTTTAGTTATCAGTTCTGCTGAAGCTAGTATGTTTGTTCTAATTTAAAGGATCGGGTAGTGTATAATTACGCTCATGTAGGATTTTCTCCCCTTTGTTAGTTTGCAGTCTACTCTCTCAAGAGGGCGGCATTGCTGCCGTCTTTGGCCCGTCGACGCTCGAAGGTAACCTCGCTGTGGACGGCGTTTGTGATCGGCTACAGGTGCCGCACATTACCGCTAGATGGGAACATAAGGAGAGACCCTCCTCCCAAACGGACCTCAAAATAGTCAACCTGTACCCGCACAATCGGTACATCAGCCTCCTTCTGAGCAACCTCACCGAGTCGTATGCCTGGACGAAGATGACGATAGTCTACCAGGACGAAGAAGGTATACAGACTAACCGGGAAGACTGCTGGTAACTGAACCCTCCCGTTCGTAGGTTCCTTCGAACTGGACGCGCGCGCGCGTTTTGGCAAATCACTAGCCACTGCTGTTTATAGCAGCACGTATAGCGTACGTATAGCGCGTACTGCCTATTCACGAGCTTAATAGTGCCGCCCCTTAATGGTTTCCAATTCAGTTCACCGAATGAAGGTGCCTTTCTATATGCGCGTCAACACTTGCGCCTAGCTTTGCATCTCCGTCAAAATCGCTCCGGAGGCGATTTTTACGGCCGAACGCGACGCACACGTACGTTATGTTAATGGAGTTAATTTAAATTAATGTGAATTTTTGTGTCCGTGAAAGTGAAACGCATGAACGCATCGTGTACGCAACGTACCCAAAAAACGTACATTATGGAAAGGCGCCTTTAGTCGACAGTATATTCATTCACTGATGTCAACTATATACCGGCACAAGTGCTGGTACAGCGGGAACTGCGCGTGAAGACAGCACATGAAAGCCCAATTATAAAGCACTCCTTCTGTTGACTTTCAGTATACCTGATTGGCTGGGTGATATATTCCCTTCTTATGAGATTATGAAGTTACCGAGCCTCACACAAATCCGCTAGAAAAAATTCCACCTTTCCTGCCTTAGTTATAGACCCTGTACAATGTAATTTTGTGTGTTGTCGTTGACAGCGCTCATAAGACTGCATCACGTACTAGAGCGTTCGCGGGGCGAGCTCACGCTACGAAAGATGACGGCCCAAAACCTAAACATGCTTCTGAAGGAGATCAAGAAGTCAGGGATCTACCACATCATTATTGACTGCAAACAAGAAGTGCTCATGACAATATTAGAACTGGTACGTATACACACACGTGGGCCGTGCCTCTGAGTCACTTGGTAATACCATCGACTGACTCAATTCGTATGTGTATGTGTGCACTGGAGTAAATTGCCTTTTCTTGCTGTTTTTATGCAGTTGCTGGAACTTCAAATGCTGCGAAGTCACTATCACTATATATTCACTTCAATGGTAAGATCCGGAAGGGACTGTATTCAAGTAAAAATAATGTACTTGGATGGAAGACATAATAACTGATTTAAGTTTATTTAATTCTATTCATTAGAATATGCGTGCTACTGGAAGTCTTTCTTTGTGAGTTTTATAGTATGTTACCCGACAGTGCACTGCGTTGCATTGGGAGGGCACACACTGTAGGTTTATAAGGTGTATTTTATCACGACAGGACATGTGCTTGATCGAGATGACGCGCTACAGCGGCGACTCGGTCAACATTTCTTCCATCCACTTGATGGACATGACGAGCACTGACGTCAAGTCCAAGAAGGTGAAATGGGAATTCTACCAGAAGCTGGAAGGCAGCAACGAAACGGCCTTCACGGTACGGGCTATCCTTCCAAACCTACCCAGGCCTGTTATGGTGTGTTTATACCGGCCCAGAAGCATTCATACAAGACGAATAGTGCAAGAATGAGGCATACGATAAACCGTTCTTGGCGAATCTAGGGATTATCTCCTCGTAGCGCAAAACAGACAGTGACGCCCGAAAAGGGCATTGAGAGAGATGCCCCAACTGGTAGAAATAAATCCTCATGGAAGCAGCAAAAAAAACTGACTTAACCACAGTTGATTGATGAAGATGAATATCTTTTCAAAATGGGAATGATTTTTAAAAATTAAAAGCCTCTGGTACCCTTCACCGTAAAAACAAAGTGTTGCTGTTTCAACACCTTTTAAACGCCTTCCCGCTAGCATTTTATGACCGTTCTGTGGTGTTCGTAATCCAAAGCTAAACACACTATGGTGTTTATTTTTTAAGCAAAATCGTGTTGATGTGTTAATAAATTTAGACAAAATGACCCCTTTGGGTGTTAAGATCACGGCACAAAGCATGTTTGTTGGGATATAACTTTTTCTGAACAAAGAAACACGTTTATTTAAAAAGAAAGTGGTTCATTGACTCGTTCAAAGACTCGTTTATAGCGGGTGTTGGTTTTCACAGTGTTTGCTCTGCTGGGGACAAAATTCTGCGTGCACGGTCCTGTTTTGGGTGAAATCCTTGTCACCAAATCAAATTTCCTCAGACTGTTTCCTTGAAGTCCTCTAATGAGCCCTTTGGGACACAAGTACAAGCTATATACATGAAAGGCGTTTAGGTAACCATATTAGAAAGTATGAGGTCTGAATTTGCGAGTGGCAAGGCCCAGCTCAGCAAACCAGTGAATATCTTCTCACAGACCGTCTGACAGCTCTGAGAACACAATATTCAAGGTTACGGCTAAGGCTATCTCCTGTTGGCGATAGCACAGATTTTCTACAAATTTGACTGACTTTGACATTTTTCACCAGACGGAGGTAGCTATGATGTATGATGCCGTCAGCGTAGCCAAACTTGGTCTTCACCGCCTCAGTAACACTTCATTGGTGTCCACGCAGCAAGTGTCTTGCGAATCTACCCAAAGTGCGTGGGACCTCGGCTTGAGTTACTATAACGCGGTGCAGTCGGTAAATATGATTATTTATAGGGTAACATTCTTGTCTTTGATGTAAACGTATTCAGCGAAATAAGAAGAAATACGGTGATAATACTTGCATTTATTTTAATATTGAATGTACATATTTACGTATGGAAAATACTGTACTGTAGGTAATGACTTTCGAAAGCACAAGTGGGGAAATGGGCTTACAGTGTACTGAACTTTGGAAATGGCCTATGTGGTCACAAACGATTTGATCTGACTATCCACAATACCTTAACGAGCGAGGCTGTCACAGCAATATGCCTCTGTACGAAACATGGCAGTACATTATTTTTTGTGATACGTGGTGTCAAGCTTACAAGCGGTTCTTACCAATGTAGCATGAAGGGGCCGTAATTTCCCCCAGAATGATGCAAACGTTCACGCTACACATTAAGTCAGAAAGAAAATAACCTGTCAAAAATTATCTTTTCCAACAGAAAACAAACTGAGACAAAAAAACAAGAACTGTAAAAATGCCCTTCAGGACATGTTCCACCTACGTCCTTAATTCGATCCCTTTACCTTACCCATCATTTCACACAATAAGCCTGACTGGCCTACTTTTTCCCCATTTGTTTGTGCCCATTGAGCAACGTACTGCTACTCCAGGTAATCCCAACGTTTATAATAATATATTATTGGCAAGTTTCGCGGGTGGCATTTTTTCCTGTAGAGGTTTCGTTCATTAACGGCGGTAGGTAGTCGGATTTGACGTTGAGATACGGTGTCATAGTTGCTTCTAAAGCATCGTGAGGTAGCGATTTGAATCACATGCTATCGAATTTCAGAAAAATTACAACAGAAGTCTTAAGTGGTACTTGTATTTCTATGTGAATTGTGTTCTTGTGATCTGTAAAATACTAGCATGACGGTGTCTGTGAACAAACAAGCATATAGTTGATGGAGTCAAGGCTTCAGATTAAATACAAATTTCAAAAACAAATCCACAACCGTGAGAGTGCAGAATGATTCTAGTTCATGAAAGAGAGAAGCTCTCCTTTCGGGATGATGGGGTGTAATTTTGATATCTTATTTTCAGTGCGACTGAAACTCACAGCATGAGGTTAATTTGAATGATCTACGTGACTAATCTGCTTGTTGCATTCCCACTGCATGACAGAAAAGGCGGGTTCGACTTTTTGTCAGAAATATGTGCCCAGTACAGGAAAGAAAATTATTGAACCACTTGACGTACCTCACTGGGTGGAAGGATATTTGCATGTCTAGAAAGGATAGGTTTTGTCGTACGAGACAATTTTAGGGGGGCAATTTTGATGCATTCTGTTCAGAGTCGGTTTGTATTATTGACGGGGAGAACGGCCTACAGGATTTCCTACTCTTGCTTTCTCTTCATTTGTATCTTTTGTTGGTTTTGGCTTTCCGTGTTGACGTCACCGCATTAGTAGAAATTAATTCTTTTGAAATATAATTGATTGATAGGTCAATATGCCTGACGGATTAACGGGCCAGATACGGTTTGGATCGCACGGGGAGAGAGTGAACCCAAAGTTCTTCGTCTCAGAACTTGGCCCGTCGGGTATGGAGCAGGTGAGGATTATCTCTCTCCATCAGTGGATCAAGGATAGCAATTCCCGTGAAGAATTGGACTATGTCCTTCAGTGCTGCGTTTTCCGGCCGAAATCAGACCAACCTGTTTTCCCCTGGACACATTGTGGAGGGGTTGGAACTGAATGGTCATGTTTTCCACCCGTGCCGTGGGTTATAGTCCGGCGCGAAGAAATGCGGGGTGCGTGTCCTGCGGCGGCACACGTTGTTTATTGTTGACTCCCTAAGGCGAGAAAACATGGTACTTGCATGTATTAAGGAAAGAGATGCACAGAGTATCTCGACCAAGAATCTGTTGGTCACAGATCAGTTTGAGCACGAGTTCACTGCACATACTCGGGAGACTATAGAAGCTTGACAGGTTTCATGTCAATTATTGTACAAATAAGAGACCTTTAGATTTTTTTCTTTAAAGAGCTGGCTTAGTGCTTTTACCACTTTACATATGGAAGCTTCCTGGATGCGCAGCGCTTGCATACTTGAATAGGCCTTCTCCATGGGTAGGCCACATCGAAATTGAAAGTGATGTCAACTCTTCATTTCTTTTTAAACTGAAGGCATCAATGAAAAGATGAAAATTAATATAAAAATTAGTATACCTGTTTACTTTGGTTAATAATTTCATATTGTGATAAACTACTTTAGTGTTTTACGCCAGATTTGGGGGAAAATGTAAAAGGCCTAGAACCTACAGAAATTCTAAAATGGTATGACCGAGATGGTAATGGACTGGTTTATTAGCGCATGCGTAGCGAATATGGCCGGCCAGATACTTGCAATATGTAGGCCTAGGATTGGTAGCACATGTGAAGCATTCACAAACAAATTAATAAAAAGTGAGATTAATTAAAGTGTGCGATGTGACATCTTCGCTATTTTCTGGGTCTTCTTAAGATTGGAACGTGGAACATCATGGATGGCCTGCATTTCAAGCGTGCCGTGGAGGAACAGTTAAACACCAGCACAGCAAACAGATCGCTGAGAGTCACCACCATATTGGTAAGAAATACTCCACTCGTGGAAAAGCCACCTGATCCTCGGCCATAAAATCTTTAGCATTTCTATCTAGGATTGTGCAATGTCGTGGATCATGGTTTCGACGGTCTGTTATTGATACGGATAGGGCTGCCACAAAGCACGTCACACGACTGCCCTTTGTTACTGTCAATTACGATGAAGAACGCTTGTGCGCGGAATTAGTAGTAACTCTGTAGCTTGAGAACAGAGAGTATGTGTTCGATTTGGGAATCTTGCACTGCACTGTGGACAGTCCACCTCCTTTGGGTCATTTAATCCTCGAGTGATTCGCTTGTACAGCCACCCTGCCAAGCCGTACACTTTCACTTTATATCATTGTCCCACATGGCAAAGCCGATCACAAGTCAACTCATAATTTGGCCATAAGTAAGGCTAAAGAACATAACATGGGTTTATTATTTTTTTACAGAGAAACAACAGAATACTTTTTCATTGCGAATTCATCTGAATATAGCTTGTGATTTTTTTCATGCGGTGAATTTATTACAGCTTCGCCTCGTTGTGCTTTCTACATGAAAGTTGGCTGACCAAAGCCATTGAGAGTCAGAGTTGTACAGACCCCAACCCTCCACTGACAACCCCTTTGCCTTCTGTTCTAAACAGGAGAAGCCGTACGTCATGCTGCGAGAGACTACAGACGGTACCAAGCTCGCGGATAACGAACGATTCGAAGGCTTCTGCATCGACCTGCTCAAGATGGTGTCGGCGGACGTGGGATTCGATTACCAGATCCAGTTGGTGAACGACGGCAACTACGGAGCGGAAACGGAGAACGGAGAATGGAACGGCATGATCGGCGAACTCATGCAAGGGGTAAGTCCAACCTGAGCCGTGGCATTTTGGGATTCAGCGTTCTTCATTAGCGCGATTGCGTAATCTCAAGCTGTGTTTTTCTTTCATGTAGAGTTTCGGGTTACCTTTGATCAGTGCGAGGGGTGCTAGAGCTGCATAACGAGATTACTTAATCATTCTCTTCAAACAAGTCAGCATCGCATGTCTTATCCCAAAGGTTCCAAAGATCTCCCACACAAGAATTCCTAAGTTTCGTTATATCCAGCAAGAAATGAGACCGAGCGGTACCCCCACATATCCAATCGCTATACACACTCTATACTATTACATATACTATTACATATACTATACATACTCTATACCATCCCCCATGTCTGAAAAGATTTCCTCAGATTTCAGTGAAACAATGACCAACACAAAGCAGGGGGGGGTTCTCCGTCTCATATCTTGCTTCATATGGAAACATGCTTTTCAAGTAAACTTTTCAAAATCCAATACTGTCATTGCTTTCACCTGTAACGTCTGTATTTCATGTATCGGTATTCAGTTGAATGCGCTTATCGTGCACCCGATCCGACTACCCACCGCTACTTATAAGCGAGGCCTGTGCAGCAAAATAGCCTGCAAGAACTGTGATGCTAATATATTATCGTATGATGCAATACAGTGGCACACTTATAAGTGAGGCTAGTCAGCGTCAAAAACATTTGGAGGCAGAAAGCTCGAACAAGCCTCACTTATATGTGTGCCTTCTGTATTGCATCATACAATAATATATTAGCACCACAGTTAGAGCATGGCCATTTAGCTTCACAGGCCTCACTTATAAGTAGCGATGGGTAGTCGGATGGGGTGCACCGTAACGTATGTAAAACAAAAGCGAAAACAAAATAAGCTGCAGAATGTGCCACCAGTTAATTTTATGGAATCCTTTATCTTGAAAAGTCTTTAACCATTCCCCCCAACTTGGCCAACACAGCAAGCAGACTTAGCGGTGGCCCCTCTAACAATCTCCTACGTCCGGGAACAAGTGGTAGACTTCTCCAAGCCCTTCATGCACCTGGGTATCACGATCTTGTACCGAGTTCCTGAGCCCCAGAACCCCGGTGTCTTCTCCTTTCTCAACCCGCTGTCCTTTGATATCTGGATGTACGTGGTTATCGCCTTCCTGGTGGTGGCCCTGACCATGTTCCTGTTAGCCCGGTTTAGCCCCTACGAGTGGTACAACGAGCACCCCTGCAACCCCGACTACGACAAAGTCGAGAACCAGTTCACGCTCTTGAGCTGCATCTGGTTTGCCTTCGGCGGGCTCATGCAGCAAGGCTCAGAGGTCAACCCCCGGGCCTTCTCCACCAGGGTCTTGAGCGGCTTCTGGTGGTTCTTCTCCCTCATCCTAGTGTCGTCCTACACCGCCAACCTGGCTGCCTTCCTGACCGTGGAACGGATGGTGTCGCCTATCGAGAGTGCTGATGACATGGCCAAGCAGACTAAGATAGAGTACGGAACGAGGAGTAGCGGCTCCACACACACATTCTTTAAGGTAACTAAAAACATAGTTCTCTCTTTATAGCAGCAAATATCTCAGATTGAAAGCTGATTTAGCGTCCTAGATCTAGGTCCTAGCACCCTACACCATCCGTGTACTTCACGTTAATCTGCAATGTTAAACATACCCAATTGCCCCTTCCGTCGCTTCCAGTATGGAGGTACCACATTCGCCTTTTTCAACAAATTATCTGCCGTTCTGTGACATTCCCCAAACCTGCAGGCTGTGCACACAGGTCCGTTATGTTTTTGATATAGACTTCTGACTTAAGCTCCATAATTCTCACTGAAATTTAAAGAGATGCTGATCCAACAGCAGCGACCTGTCTTATTATTGGGAAAATTTTCTCAGCAGGTTTAAGGAATTCCAAGACAATAATCGCTCACGTTATTAAATGGAGTGTTGATAGATTTCCTCAAGGTATCTGATGTAATCTGCCAGGTTACTGGGTGAGCTTGAATGGAACTGGTTTAAAAAGAAAAGCCTCTTTCACTAAGAAGTTGATGCATCATTTTCCGCACTGACAGCGTTCGAACATTGAGACGTACAAGACGATGTGGGAGTTTATGAGCTCACGACCAAACGTCTTTATGGACACGTACGGTGAAGGCATCCAGAGGGTCCTGACTGAGAAGAACTACGCCTTCCTGATGGAGTCCACTATGGCAGAGTACGTGGTATCACGGAACTGCAAAAATCTGACCACCATCGGCGGACTGTTAAACTCCAGAGGGTACGGCATCGGGACCCCACTAGGTACGACTGAGCTTCGGTGCGACTATAGTGCTGAATATGACGGATGGGACTTGTGTTGACGGAAGGATTTAAACCAGCTGATTCTCCCAATTAGATGAAGCAAAATTGCGCTTACTTGATCATTTTAAATGAAACAACGTAGTTGGACCCCCTGAAAGTGCGTCCAGCATGAAATTGACAATTTTACCAATGCAAGTACCGCTGATACCGGTCAATCTTATCTACCAGCCACAACATTTAAATTCTAACCTCCTCAGTCTGTGTCATAAAGGTTTGTGTGGAATACAGTTTTGATGTTTTTTTTTTCCATTTAAAAATTATGACAAAGTCTCCTTAGATATGAGTTGGGAACACCTGGAAGTAAATTTCATTTTTTTTACCGCTATAATAAAGCCTTGTTTGACGAAAGACAGATAAGAATATATGATTGTTAGGTATCGCAGGTAACTACGGCAGGCAATTCTGAAGGAAGCCTAGGTCCAATAACCGTGAGGCTTTTCACGTCTCCGCCCGCAGGATCCAAGTTGCGGGATAAGATTACCAACTCCATCCTCCGCCTGGAGGAGAACGAGGACCTGATGAAGCTCAAGACTAAGTGGTGGAACGCGGGGAATTGCATGGTGGAGCCCACCAATAACCAGGACGCCAACGAGCTGGGGCTGTCCAACATAGGGGGTATCTTCCTGGTGCTGATTGCGGGCGTGGTGCTGGGCATCCTGGTGGCGGTGGCCGAGTTCATCTGGAAGTCCCGGCAGAACGCCGAGATAGATCGGGTGAGGATGCTTGTCATAGAGAGTTTGCATTGCTGCCATCTTGGTGGCCAGTGGGTTTGTTCCACATAATATGCACGATGGAGGCCTCCCTGTGGAACAAAAGAACTGTCGTGCAAGATGGCTATCGCAAAGCCCCTGTACAATTAGTTAGGGAACCTTTTAATTGGGTATTTACACCAGACATATCGTCCGCAAGGTTTGGCAATAAACTTGTAAAGCTGAATTAGATAAGCTTTATACGATTTGTTGATGCTGCTTCAAGGAAGTGCAGTTAATTTTTTCAGAAAAAAAGGTTATCATTCTTTTGCATCTCTTCTTTTCTTTTACACAGAAATCACTATGTGCGGAAATGATGTCTGAGTTCCGTTTTGCCTGTCGATGTAACGGAAAGCCCCGATCTCAACGCAATATAGACCATAAGTACATGCCCGCGCCCTACCCAAGTGGACTGAACGGACAAACGTTTCCCATGAGCATGGCGGAAACCGTGGCGTAGAGCAAGCCGTGTCTTTCTCCAAATTCAGAGAGGGGAACACATCTCAATACAAATGACATGTAAATACAGCAAGAAAATTTACTAAGAAATTAGACTGCCGCAAAACATCCAGGGCTTCCAAACAAAACGGCAGGGCTGATGACGAGTCTGTGAGATGGTGGAAAGCTGCACCACTGTGCAAAGGAAGACGGTAGTGGTGTCTGGCGGTTCCAGATGTATCTTCACTGTCCGCCGCATTTGACAGAAAAAATCAGGTCGACTAGGTGCTGGGCTGAGGTGAAGAAAAAAGTGCCCACTTTGCCACTGTACGATTGTTCGAGTTGGACGTTGTGGTTTGCCAGTGCCGGCGACGATAGGCCGTCCATTCTTCTTGTGCGTCCGCGAAATCAGTGTTGAAAATCATGGCGAGTCGAGTTCCGTGGTGGGAGTGTAAACCAGCTTTCCAGTCTGATTATGCACTGGAAGATATAAAAACTTGAGCAAATGGAGTACTAACAAAGGATTGAACAATTCAACTCGGTCTGTGTCGGCTTTGGAACATAATACCTTAGTACTCAAGTCTTATATGCTTTTGAAAACGTTGGTCCAAGTTAGAAGCAGTCTACCATGTAAATAGAGGCTTTGCTCCAAAGATTTCCAGTGAGCGAAATTCCACTGAAACGGCTCTGCTTAGGAGCCTTTAAATTTTTTCACAGTTTTAAAGTTTTTTAGGTCATACAAGTGTAATGTTACCCCATCACTTATGGCTGAGTTTCTCTTTAAGCCTCGGTACTACCAATTCCCATCTGAAACGCTCTTTCGTCCAATATGCATTTCTGTTACACTTAGAAAAGGTTTCCAAAGCATTTGAATGTGGAGTTCCTTTGTGGACGACACTTATATTGCAGACTGCAAGGCTGAAATGCAGTTCTTTGTTCGGTCCAGCTGCAATGGTAAAAGCACTGGATCAGAGCTTGACAATGTCATTTGAAATAAACCGAAGTAAGAGTATTGTTGTACGTGAAAATACCGACGATCTGCTATTAAAATTAGTCCGATGATGCACAATGTTGTGCAGTATTTCCTATTTTTTTTTCGAGTACACGGACGTATGATTACCTTGAAAATGGCGAATAGTTTGTTGTGTTTTTCTATCTGGAGACAAATTTATATTCTGTAGCGAAAACCATACTTTCAAATTGTTGATGAGGGATTATTTATAATAATTATGTGACTGAAAGTATTGTTTCTAAAGTGTGATTGTTGATAATTTTACATATATATTACATTATTTCGGAAGTCTTTGTTTCAGCAGTGGATATTTCTCTTATATGAGAACAGAAACAGGCATCCGGCCTGAGTAGAAGACTGTAATTTTATTTCCATATTTAAAGCCTTACTGGGAAATTGGAGCTATTGGGGGCAAATAATAAGCGCGCAACCAGCTAAGGGAATGTCTACAGGAGATCGCTGTTCGATGGAAGAATACGCCTTCGAAATCGAATAGATTCAAGACCAAAGATAAATAAATAAAAGATACCGTATTCTATTGCTGGGACGTCTACAGTTGTGAATGATCGAATTGGATTTGCAGTATGGCAGTTAATATTTGATGCCAAACGTGGCATTCCAGTGTCGTCATAAATAGGTATTGGCCTTTCTGGCCCTTTGCGTTAGTTGGATTGTCTTCCTTGCGAAACTACTACTTTTCGACTAGAGTTTTAAAAGAGCTGTGATTATTTGAGTCAGTGTATTCATTTTCCGGTGCAGTTTCAGGTATGTATAAAACTGCATATGCAGGCAAAATTCCTATACCCGCCTACTTCGCCTGAACACCTGTCAAGGGACGCAAAGAATCTCAAAAGTAACCGCAGAATGGATGAAAAGACACATCTTGATCCAACTTAAGTGCAAATTTCCGAAACATTTCAATTGGTCGCATTTTATTGCAGTTTGTATGCCCCGGCTTCGTTGTAAACGTCTCATTTTAGAGAGAATTCCTTTAAAAACTTTACTGCTGGCTCGGTTACAGGTGTTTTATCAACGTGCTTGCATTTTGTACATGTGGTTTAGTCCAGTGTATACTGTCAAAATGCAGGGGTTTTTTTATAGAAGTGTTTGAAATACTGATTTTGTGTTCTTGCTGGGTAATATTTTGTGACCAGTATGGAAACGTTGCACTTTTCATAAATCAAGAACTTATCCGTCAGCCGTTTTCCGATATCACCCTCGAGTTACCTTTACTTCAGTCCCGACAGCATATCGTTGAAACCCTATCAAATTTTGGCTTTTTGCCAAATTACAAAGAAAGGCTCGGCAAAACAAGTCCAGTTTGTTTACTATAAATACCATTATTATGTACAAGTGTAATGAGGTAGTGCATTCACAAAATGTGACTACAATTTTAAGAATCAAACTTAAAAAATATAAATTCGTCATAAAGTCACGACTTTTTGTAACATGATGCTTAAAGGTGAAATGTTCTGAATGATATCTGAAGTCTTCAATATTTATGTGGAGAACTTGATTAGACTGATTTTGTTATCTGTTTGTGATAATCACAGTCATTGATGATTCACTGCTGCTTCGAGCGTTCAAACAAAATACTGTGAGCCCTTTCGGGATATTTGTTGTAGTCCTTCGAGGTTAGATACTTTGTTACCGTATATTCATAACTGGGAGGCAGGAATTCCCTAGGTAGCAAGTTTGAAATTGCAGGCATGGAATTTCATTTCAAAGCTTCCGAGTTGAAATAAATTTCATGTCTTATCTTTTGCTTTCTGCGTATCACAGCGAATTCAGCCTCTTCCACTTTGTTCCTTTGGAGGAAATCTTAAGCTAATTTACATTTTCCAAAGGGTTTTTTACGACCACCTGAGTATACACGTCAGATCTATATATATGTACAGGGAGACGCGCCAGCTTTGGAATCTGGAGCCAAAAATGGATAATCGATATGTGTGCAGCAACGCGTGTGGCTATTGTGCACTCACGCATAACTCGCCATTTTGTGTCCAACAATTAAGACATTCATGTCGCAAGTCTCTCTGTAAACATCTCCAGTACGTGTATGGTGTGAGCGCCCCCGTTATTTCATTTTTAGACAGACGACTGGATCGTTTGTGCATTTAGACAAAATATTTATGAAAGATTCCTCTCTTACTTTGTAAGTACATAAAGTATATTGTATTTATAAGCTCTATAGGGATGGCATATAGAGAACTGTCGTGTTTTAAATGTACAGATTGGAACTTTTGCCTTTTGAGGTAAAGTAATTTAAAAAAAAACGGGCGCAATATGTTCGATATAATAAATTTATTCTTTAAAAATTCCGTATACAGAAGGTAAGAACGCTTTCTTGACATTCTCATTAACATGATTCGAAATCATGCAATAATTACATATAGTGTAATCAAGCAATATGCAGAGGTGTTTTATTGTACATAGGTGTTTATGGCTTGCTAGGTTGTTCGATTTAGTTTATTTTTTACCGGACGGTGTAGCTGCCTTTTCCAATGAACGGTTTCTTTTGAACATTCACGTTTTTCTCCCTATAGTTTCAGCTTACTTCTAAACCCAAAACAGAAAAGTGGTGTTTATTGACTGAGTAGCTATTGTGTTCTCTCTACTGATGCAAAATTTATGAATCGTCTTTCGAGGTACCATTGCCTTCTCGTAGCTTTTATTGATCTATTTGAGAACATTAATTTGATTGGTCGAAGCCTGTGTGTGAAAAAATTGTATGTTGTGTTTCTGTACCACGCGCAGCGGAATGAAGAGTTTCGTCTAGATCCCAAACGCCAGCAGCCCTTTTCATTCATTGCCAGTACATACATGTATTTCGTATAGCGCTGATATAACATGCGCTGCAGCCTCGCACAATAGATTCCATGCTGAGTACCTTAAGCTGTGTACAAGCTGGTTTGGAACGTCCTTTTATTAAAAATCAAAGAAAGAAGCTCTGTGGTGCCTACTTAGGGCTCTTACACTTTTGTTGACTTTCGAATCGGCAGGCCTGATCTCATTGCCTGCAGTGGCAACCAGAAAATCCGACCCAGGTAGCAAGTTTACCCGTTTCTGTGATGGCAATATCCTTCCTACAGATCTCAGAGTGGTCCAAGACCGCCAGTGACAGCCGTGCACTTTCTGACAGATAACCGATGTGCTTTATTTGAACAACGTTGACCTCTCCAACACAGGTCAGAGCAGTAATTTAAGTCCATTTTCGTTCGGCCTCCTGGTATACTTGGAACTCATAAAAAGGCCAGTGTTATTAAGATATTTTTCATGTTTGGATGTATTGTAGAATATTGCTCCCAGCCTTACACATCTTATTCTTTAAGTTAATATGTCAGCAGCTCATAATTTGAAATTCAAAATCATGTCACTTATAAACATCAACATTAGTAAATTTTAGCTGATACATTTGAGACCCTATATAATTCTTGAATTTGGTTGTAAAAAAAAGAATGGTGTCACCTACTGGAGAGTTTGTTATTCACAATTAAAATTTATGTATTTTCTTCAATTGCCGTTGTCATGGGTAGTAATTGGTGTCCAGTTTCTGCCCTTTTATTCACGATTTCAATTCGGTCACAGTTTATTTGTAAATCCTCTGAATACGTATTATGGAGGATGAAAAGTGGCCAGCAGATTTTATGTTCTGGTAACATGCAATTTCTACTTTTTTGCCACCTCAAAAAGCAGAACGAACATTGTTTGGTTATGCATTTTTCTGTTTTCTGCTTCAAAATAGCAGATTTTGCTTTCTCTCAGTTTGCTGGCGGCCGAAAAGCGGCCATCTGCTTTTGTCCTTTCGAACAGGCAGAAATGAGGATCGAACGTTTTGACAACAACCGTGAATTCTACTTTTTTGCTTTTTTTTTTTTTGATACCGGAAGAGCAATTTTACATAGGCGGCCGAAAAAGGGTCATCTGCTTTTCTGTCTTCCAAGGGTCGTGAACGGGATCGTGAACGTCAGTTTACTGAGAGACTAATATTGGCCCCGAGCTGGACCAAGAGAGGGTGCAATTTTCCTAACATCAGAGGCTCCTTCAGTAACGGCGCACAGCTGGTTCACTGTGCAACGCAAGCGTTGCAGTCGCATTTCTACCTACAAAATGAGTGCTCCCGACCAACATGTCCTTTACAACCGACGAGGGAGTGCTTCTGCTCAGGGTGGAAGGCATAAACTTCATTAAATTTCCTTCCCTGCAGCTATGTACATGTTGCCAAGGTGACACAATGCATGATCCTGGAAAGCTGTATCCCGGAACACGAGAAAACAGAAATAGAAAAACCTTTTGTCTTTGACCCTGAAACACTTTGAAACGGGGAAGAATAATTGTTGCGTTGCTTATGTTTTGCCGTCGTTCATGGAGAAGAGTAGAATTATTTGCTTTTAGGAATTCCTGTGAAAAGGTTAAGCTGGCTTTGTTTGACATTTCAAGCTGTGAGCACCGGACATGGCGGTACACTATTGCCTTGTAACCATACCTGCGATTTTGAAACTGTCCGCGAATGTGTAAACCAGCTGTGGTTATCATAGTTCCGGTGAGACAATTGTTCCAGGACAAGAACAGAATAGGCGGTGGAAAGTTGTAAATTTCTTAAATTAGCCATATAACTTACGGAGTAGTGTGAATGAGGAAAATTATCATAAATTTATCGGTGAGGTTTTACTTTGGCCAAGTTGAAAAAATGGTAATATGACTATTTTTCATTTTTAATAGAACTTATAGGGATGTTTCAATCTATCTCGGGGTGGTGGACTGAGAGTTTGTAGTAGGTTGTCAGCCCAGTGAAGTAGCTATACACTGTAAACCTTGTAGTATTAATTCAAATTTTAGTTTTAAATAACACCTAGTGGTGTTTATTCAACACAGACGGACCTAACACACGACGAAGTTAAGAAAACATTACTGTTTTACGTTAATTAAACTAGACATGACTTGTGGGTGTGTGGTTTCCATTTTTACGCATCTCATTTGTCTTCATTACTTTCATTGACCCCTAGACAGTAAAGTTTCACAGTTCCCTCGCCTGCATCAAACCGTGAGCGCAGACAAACATTCCCTCTTCGGTGACGAAATCAACGGGTCGCAGCCGGTGTTTACTTGCTCAAATTTTAAACAAACAAACGGAATTATACGTTAAATGTGCTTATCCGAATATCAATCTCGGTAGTAAGGGAATTGTGTTTGGCAGTTCACATCTGATTCGATCAAGCTACAACGTCACCGGCAAGGTCGATGCCTTCAGAAATGAGCACAAGTAAGTATAGCAAAGCGGCATTTTGTGCTTGGACAAAGAATGCATGCCAGTAGCGTAACGTTTTCGGGGCATTTCTGACATTCTTTTGAAAACTTGATATGCTTTCGAACCTCGTGGAAACTTAAATAAACTCTCCTATCTTGCGTGTGTATCTGCATACATGTATATCCTCAAGCCGTATTTCTACACTTGTTTTCAAGCTACACTATCCCCTGCGAGACGACAAATGTGAGTAGAGGTTTGAAAGTTAGATGTGCCTAACAAAAGCAAATTTGTGCATTCGTATTCCTTTATGCACTTCTTGTGGTGACTGATGCTTTGGGATTTTCCACAATCTTTAGCACGATTTCTTCGGAAAAGGTGCTTGTATAATTTTCAATGTAGTTATAACACAATGCTGGGAAATCGTTTTTAACCTTCACCAGTGTACCTTTTGATGCAATTCCTTTGCTACAGGCTATCATGTTAAAACAGTGCCTTAAAATACCTGAACCGACGCACGTTTCTTTCTTTTTTTTTCTTGCAATGACTACCTGAAGAAACCTTTAGTAATATGTATGTTTTATTGTATTATTAACGTGCGTTTGAATTGATGTTGAGAGTAGCATAAAGACGTGTGCGCCGAACAGGGCGCAGAGTATTTGTGCAATTTCGGGGCAACGACGAAGTCATTTTTTTGTAATGAGCCCACCTGTCTCCACGTGCACTTGAGCTCTCTCCAGACATTCCCAAAGGGCAACAATAATTGATGCACATCCAGCCACCTACATCGCGCTGTTGTCATGGCAACAAAGACTTTGTACTCATAGTTTTCTAGCACATCAAAATTCTGCGAAACAAGCATGACATACGAATGATATAAGAGTGCATAAGGTATAGAATGTGACCAGCGTTTAGAGTTTAAACACTTCTTGTACCTGCTTTTTCCACGCGTTTAACCATGACATGTTTATTAAAATGTGTTTAGGAATGTGTGCATGTTTAGCTTTTTGAAATCTGTTTAGCATTCAACACATTTCTTAACGCATAAGGCTGTCGCGGTTAAACTTTTCAAAAGGTGGGTACAAAAATGTGTTTGGAAATGTGTTAAAACTCTAAGCGTTTTTTTTTACTGTGTAATTGTACATGAACCACTATTATATAAACGTTCCGCAATAAGTGAATTTTTGCATACAACCTAGGCATCGCATGTGTAATTCTTTAGCCTTTATGTACATTTAATTGTAATTCTGTTTAGGCCTAGGCCAGTCAAAAGAATTTAAGACAAAGGTCAAAGTAGTGCATAATTCGAAATTAATACAAAAGCAAGAAAAACAACCATCAATGTAAAAACCAACGCCTATTTTCAACTTGTCTTTACGCTTGGAAAAGGTGGACCGATTTCGCGCATTGTGCAGTGCGCTGCAAACTCTTTGAGGCGCGCTATTGTGAAATGCCAGCATGGGAAACATGTCACCGTTTAAATCATTCACCTTTATGGAAATAGTGTGTTTCAATGTTTGGGAAGTGTTGTCATCTGATAAAGGTTTTTGTGTCTTGTTATTGTGTCTTTGTTTCTGAATTTATTAGTACATCTACACATCTTTGCTTAAAAATAAACACCTCAGCTTTCAACACCACAATGTGTTCATAAAGTCTTAACAGACAGACGTTTAAAAAGCGTTAAAACATTACCTCTACAGTGTAGTTTTGCCGTTTTATTTGCAGCAGAAGAAAATGAATTATTCATAAGGGTTGCCGGCTATTAGAAAACAACAGATAAGATCCCGATTCTTTCTTTTGGGTATCATCGACTGAATCAAAAGCCCTCAAAACAGTCGATTTTGTCAGAGAAAATTCCGAGGGTGGATTTTATCCTTCAGCAGAAATGACAGTTAATACAAAGCCAATGTTCCCCATTAGCTCATACTTCCACTAAGGAAACACCTTCGGGAACATTCTCATCTGAACTGGAATTTGGCATTGTTTTGCATCTCTTATCGTAGTGTTTGATCTCCCTTCTGGGCAAGAGTATCTTTGTTCTGTAGAATAGATTAAATTCCAGGAGTGGCGTCTATGTCGCATCAGACAAAGTCATTCCCTTAGGAAACCGTCCTTTGTGTAATCCGTGCACCTGTCTTATCGTTTGTTTGCCGGCTCGCATCGTTCATCATAAATGGGGAGCTTGAGGTTTCTTCTAAAAGTCGGGCATTCTGAAGTATTATCTCTACAAGTATTCTGTAACGTTTCTTTGAAATTTGAAAAGAGACGCTGAAGTACTAATGGGTAAATTTGGAAAAGAAAGCGTGATCTGCTGCAGTGCAGCTGAAAAATACCTCTTTTTGCACTCATATTTCTTCTCGCTGCAGTTTATACAGTGTTGCGTTGCAGGGACCACAGCTTCGCTTGAAAAAATTCCCGTTATAGTCGTTGAAGGAAGATGCCCTTCATACTTCAATTAACTATTCACAAGTGCACCTGATGGAGATGTACTTTGGATGAGATTCCCAGTCACTCAGAAGACTATCGATGCGGACATTTGAGAATGGAAAATCCAGAAGCTACCCGTAAGAGTGCACCGAGATGTAATCACAGTTCAGGTAAAAAAAAAAATCATTGTACAAAATGGCAAAGACTTCACATTTGAGGTTGTTTTGGAGAAACAAGCCATTTTAATTGCGTCTGGGTAGAATACATATTTTTATCACAGCCTTAGTCATGCTGAAAAATTACCACGCTATCGACCGGTGTAGGGGCCACAGAAACTTGACATGTCGTTTCCCATATACGTAACCCCTTCACTATAGGGGGATTTAGCATGTATGCTAAGAAAAGCCAGAAATTTATCTGGGCGTTATCGGGCAGTTGAATTGAATTTCCAGTTTGTTGGTTTAATGTTTTGAGCCTCTAGTTGCTTGCAGTATGAGTTGTCGATTCTAAGAAAAAAAATCTCAAGATTTGAGACCACAAATGCTCGATGGGTGAGTGTTAAGTTACATTCTTGCAAATTGCAAGAGCATGGTCGTGTTTCCTGTCTCTTTCCTGGTAAACCTACTTACATTTGTGTGTGGAAAGCACAAGTTCAGATGTCACACACAAGAACAGATACTGATTAGAAGCATAAATAGTGATTAGAACCTTCCGGAAATACGAATCGTGATAGCAATGGGGTATTTCCGTAGTGATTGTTTGTACCCCATTGCTGACGTATTGATGCTGAGTATAGTGGCAGTCGTGATATGTGCTCATTGTTTAGTGTGCCGCTGTGAGGACTTCGGGTAGATGCTCTCGCTCTTTTATTGAGTATTCACGCTGAAAGAATGCATGAAGTGTGCATTATCTCGCGCGCACCTGCCAGTCGGAGCCGTTGCTGAGAAACCATGCCAAGGCTGTTGATTGGTAGATATAGGCGTCAGCTGAGTGTCATGCATATGGAGACGCTTGCTGATTGGTCACAGTCTGGAGATGAAAAGCGGCAGTTTTAAACCCGTCTCTGCCATTGCTGCAAGCTGGTGTTGCCTCAGTCGGCTGCGGTCAGTTCTCGCTCCTGCTGCTGATTATAACGTTGCTGCTGTTATAACTGATAATAACGTCGGTTTATTTGCAACCTTTGGGATGGCTCACTGCACAGCCTACTAGCCTGCTCATTCTGTTCAGGTATACAGGTATTAGGCCTTCATTTGTTTCCCGATGCAATTAGATGATAGGATTTGCGGTCAATCGCCGTTCGGGTTCTAAAGACTATTGGTATATCAAGCCACGTGCAACTCGTCAGCATCCACCCAAAAGTAAGCTAGACCGATCAGTGTGCACAGGCTTATATAACTCCGATTTCAGTCTGATTTTACATGCACCGTAGGGGGTTAGGGTTACATGTATAGCTCTTGGGCAGAAAGCTCTGCCCTTGCTGGTCCAGGCTAGATGTAGTCCTCGATGCAGGCAAATTCCTTATTTTTTCATTATGAGTTAGAGCCACCGTTCGTGTGTAAATGACTTATAGGCTAGTGAATGCACATAATATTGATTTGTAACATATTGTCTCTAAATACTGCACCAAGCTTATTGGATTCGATTAACGTCTGTATACCACAGGGATTTACAAAATAGATAAGTGTCAGTGTATCGTCAACTCAAGTAAATTGACACGGGAACTTTTCCAAGGACTACCTATTTACAATTTGTTTATTGATTAAAAACAAACACCTTGTTACTATTTCCACAAAAGCAGTGACAAACAATCCTCATCTCGGCCTTGACTTTATCTCTCCTAGTCAACTCCCCACTTAAAAACAAAATATCACTGACAGAGCTAGTGAACCAATTCTTATTGTTCACATCAAAATGATAATTTGCAATGTTTCACTGGAGCACCACTTGCTTTCAAAGTAACAAAAGTGTATCTCTTATTTTTGAATCACTTGTTTGCAAGATACACGCGCACTGCTTCACCAAATTTACTTATAATCTGTTTATTTCCAAAATTACACCTGCGCACCACTTATTCGCAAGGTGACCCCTGTGCACCACTTAATTGTAAAAATTACACTTCTGAACCACTTAGGCCTATTGTAAGGAGTATACTTTTGCACCACTTAATTGTAAAACTTACACTTGTGCACCAGTCATTTGCATGGTTACCCTTGTGCCACTTAATTGCAAGAATTACACTAGTGCTCCACTTACTGCAAGAATTACACTTGTGCACCACTTATTGCAAGAATTACACTTGTGTCACTTAATTAGTGTGGGGGTACTTGGCCACAGAGCTCAATGTTCTTTAATACAGTTCTGGCTTTGGCCATCCGGCAGGGATTCAGGGGTCCAATTCCACCTTTCGTCCAGCTCAAGAAATCAGGTCTTGACATCGATAGCACCCCCTTTGGATCATCCCTCAGACAACCACTCAGAAAGAGCCTCTTAATGCTAAAACCCCAGAAATACTATGGTTTTGTTGCAAGTTCTTCCGTTCCTGGTCAACAGCTAACCAGCAAACGTTCAATTGAGCCTGAATGCCCAAGCAAAGTAACCGCTTGCAATGCTGCAATACACAGCATCTAATATCGCCATAGTCGAGTTGCAATGAGGTGTGTAAAACAGCCGTATCTACGCGCTCTGTGAGGAGCACAGTTCATATAAGCAGCAAAGCGGGGCATAGACGTGTCCAGTGATGAGCTCTAGAGAGAGTGGCTTCAGTCACACCCCACATACACTTTTATATTCCCCCCACACACCCATTGAAGTGTGTAT